AGGAATGGATGCTGGATTTTGTCAAATTCTTTTTCTGCATCAATTGAGAGGACCATGTGGTTCTTCTCTCTTCTCTTATTGATTTGTTCTATCACATTGATTGATTTGTGAATGTTGAACCATCCTTGCAACCCAGGGATGAATCTCACTTTGTCATGGTGGATAATTTTTTAATGTGCTGTTGGATCATGATTGCTAGGATCTTGTTGAGAATTTTTGCATCCATATTCATTAGTGATATTGGTCTGAAATTCTCCTTTTTGGTAGGGTCTTTGCCTGTTTGGGGATCAGGGTAATGCTGGCTTCATAAAAAGAGTCTGGAAGTTTTCCTTCTAGTTCAATTTTCTGAAACAGCTTCAGGAGAATAGGTGTTATTTCTTCTTTGAGGGTTTGGTAGAATTCCCCAGGGAATCCATCAGGTCCTGGGCTCTTGTTTTTTGGGAGGTTTTTGATCACTGCTTCAATCTCGTTACTAGATATCAGGCTACTCAGGTTGTCAATGTCTTCCTGGTTCAATTTTGGGAGTTTATAGTTTTCCAGGAATGCATCCATTTCATCTAGGTTGCTTAGCTTATTGGCATATAACTGTTGATAATAACTTCTGAAGATTGTTTCTATTTCCTTGGTGTTAGTTGTGATCTCTCTCTTTTCATTCATAATTTTATGAATTTGGGCTTTCTCTCTTTTTTTTTGGATTCGTGTGGCCAATGGTTTATCGATCTTATTGATTCTTCAAAAAAAACAGTTTCTAGTTTCATTGATACGTTCTACTGTATCTCTGGTTTTTACCTCATTGATCTCTGCTCTAATCTTGATTATTTTCCTTCTTATGTGTGGAGTTGGTTTGATTTTTTGTTGATTCTCCAGTTCTTTAAGATGTAGAGACAGCTGGTGTATTCTAGATTTTTTGATTTTTTTGAGGGAGGCTTGGATGGCTATGTATTTCCCCCTTAGGACCACCTTTGCTGTATCCCATAGGTTTTGGACCGAAGTGTCTTCATTCTCATTGGTTTCCATGAATTGTTTAAGTTCTTCTTTGATCTCCTGGTTGATCCAAGCATTCTTAAGCAAGGTGGTCTTTAGCTTCCAGGTGTTTGAGTTATTTCTGACCTTTTCCTTGTGATTGAGCTCCAGTTTCAAAGCATTGTGATCTGAGAATATGCAGGGAATAATCTCAGTCTTTTGGTATCAATTGAGTCCTGATTTGTGACCCAGTATGTCGTCTATTTTGGATAAGGTTCCATGTGTACTTGAGAAGAATAAGTATTCTGTAGTTTTAGGGTGGAATGTTCTGAATATATCTCTGAGGTCCATCTGGTCCAATGTGTCATTCAATGCTCTTGTTTCTTTATTGATTTTCTGCTTGGATGATCTGTCTATTACTGAGAGAGGCATGTTACTATCTCCTACTATTAATGTATTCATATCAATATGACTCTTTATCTTGATTAATGGTTTTCTTATGTAATTGGCTGCTCCCATATTGGGGGCGTAGATATTTAAAATTGTTAGATCATCTTGGTGGATAGTCTCTTTAAGAATTATGTAGTGTCCTTCTGTATATCTGACTACAGTCTTTAGTTTAAAATCTAATTTATCTGATATGAGAATCGCTACCCCGGCCTTCTTTTGAGGCCCATTGGCATGAAAGATGCTTCTCCATCCCTTCACTTTCAGTCTGGGTGTATCTTTAGGTTCAAAATGGGTCTTTTGTAGACAACATATGGATGGGTCCTGTTGTTTTATCCAATCTGCAACCCTGTGTCGTTTTATAGGTACATTTAGGCCATTCACATTGAGAGTGATTATTGATATATACGTTTTTATTGACATCGTATTACCTTTGAAGTCTTTCTTTCTGTAGATTGTTTCTATATTTCTGTTCAATGATATATTTAGGATTTTTCATCTTTTATAGAATCCTCCTTAATATTTCTTGCAGTGTTGGCTCGATGGTCGCATACTCTTTTAAGCCTTGCCAGTCTTGGAAACTCTTTATCTCTCCATCCATTTTGAATGTCAGTCTTGCTGGATAAAGTATTCTTGGCTGCCTGTTCTTCTCATTTAGTGCCCTGAATATATCTTTCCAGCCCCTTCTGGCTTGCCAGGTCTCTGTGGACAGGTCTGATGTTATTCTAATGGGCTTTCCTCTGTACGTAAAAAGCTTCTTTGTCCTAGCTGGTTTCAAGAGGGTCTGCCTACAATTACAATTCTTCATTCTTACTATTAGGTGTCTTGAGGACTTTTGAGAATCTATAATCTTGGGGGGAAACCGTTCTTCCTCTAGTACATGAACACTAGTTCCATTCGTGAGATTGGGAAAATTTTCATGGACAACTTCTTCCACCATATATTCTAGACTTCTTTCTTTCTCCTCCCCTTCAGGGATTCCAATAATTCTGACATTGGCACATTTCATGGCATCATTTATTTCCCTGATTCTGTTTTCGTGGCTTCTAAGCTGTTTGTTCCAGGCTTCCTCCTGATCCTTTCTCTCTAACAGTTTGTCTTCCAGATCACGAATTCAATCCTCTGTCTCAGTTACCCTAGCTTTGAGAGAATTTAGATTCGATTGGAACTCATTGAGAGCATTATGAACCTCATCCCTGGTGGCTTTCAGTTCTGCCCTAATCAATTCCGTTTGGTCATCCATGGCTTTCTCCAACCTAGCTATTGCCTGGATAATTATTAGCCTGAATTCCCTTTCCAACTATGTCAATAGCCATTAGCTCTGTTGTAGAAGGCCCATCTCTGTATTTTTCTTCTGTTGGGAATTCTTCCTCCTCGTCATTTTGGTGAGAGATGACTGAACAGATATAGCTGGATGTATCGACTGTGGTGCAGTCAAGGTGCACCCTGGAATGCTTCTGAGCAATCAAGATTCCCCACCCAAATGAGAGAAAAAAGAAAAGAAAAAGAAGAAAGAGAGAGAGAGAGAGAGAGAGAGAGAGAGACAGGAAAAATAGGGAAGATAAAATAGAAGGTTCAGCCCAAATGGGCCCCCTGGTAAGATTTATGAAGTATACAAATGATAACAGACAAACAAAAAGACTGATAAAAGTATATGACAAGAGAAAAAAATATATATATATGCAAAAAAAAAGGAAGAACCTCGTCAAAAAGAACCCCAAGTATAAGATTTATATACTATCAGGACAAACACAAATACACAGAAACACTGGTGGAAGAAAAAGATGGGAGAGTGGTTATAAATTCTCAGTGTGGGCGCGGAAGATTATTTCGATTCTTCCTGGATGTATCTTGGTATCTTTGTTAAAGGACTCAACTTTCCTAAGATAAAGTGGGATTAAAAATTGGTTTACCTATAGGGGTAGCATTGATTGGGTAAAGGGGATTACCTTGAAATTTAACTCTATGTGAATATTAGAAAATAAAAATAAAAAAAGAATAAACTAGACTAAACTAAACTACAATTTTAAAAAAATTTAAAAAAATAGAAAAGCAAAGGAAAAACACAGGTGTATGTATCAAAAAGGTTATTGAATATTTAATTTAACACTTCACCAAACAAGACACCTGAAAAGATAACAAATAAGCACCTGAAAAGAAAGTCAGGTTCAGAAGTCACTAAAGAAATGAATATCAGTGCACAAACACACATATTCTAAGACAGGACAAATTTGTGGGTAGAATACAGGAAAAAAGAACACACAGTATAAGATAAAGATTTGAGTATAATATGACTAAAGGGAAGTATTCCAGACATCTCTGTGGAAAGAAATTGAGAGTAAGAACATTGATAGTGGGAGAAATGGGGGAAAGGGAAGAAGGAAGGAAGATGAAAGAAGTAACTGCAGGACAGACCTCATGTTCACTCCTCCTTCCACTCTTTCTACACCCTTGACTGCTCCTTCTCCAGAAGAACAGCCACCTTCTCTACACACTTGGGAGTTGCTCAGGCTATGGGCATCTCCTGGACTTTCCATCTCACACTTGGGAGTTGCTCAGGCTATGGGCATCTCCTGGACTTTCCATCTCAGAGATTGTTAGGGGAACCCAACCTGACTTTCTGGGATCTAGCATCAAAATCCCTTCCAACCCTGATCACATCAGTGCCCAGGACCTAGCGTTGCCTTGATTAATATGGCTGCTCAGTGTTAACACAAAATTGTGGGTGTGTATGTGCAAGATGCTTGTTTTTCATATGCTTAAAAACTATGTAGGAAATCAAACAAGTCCAGTCTGTTTGTCCTGCTCTGACCATATACATTTGAGGTGAATCACTGACAGAGATGATATTCAGGGAGTCAATATATTTATCACTTCTATGCTCCTTCTTCACCATGTCCTGCTATTGAACCAGTAGAGTAGTCCTGGGCAGAACCTGGAAAAGTCCGGTAGACACCATTCTTAGCACCATAAGTTGAGAATCAACTACAGATGGAGAAACCCAAGCCATCTCCATGTTGGTCCTGCCACAGACTTCCTAACTTATACAGTTTCCCTACTAGATCCCAGCTCTGCACCCACCATGGGTTTAAAGCTCTCTGCCCTGCTTCTCTTGGGGACCAAATGTTTCCTTTTGAACACTCAACACTAGCAAGGGTGCCATTATACCTTATGATGAACTAAAGTGTGATATTCACTGAACACAGCACCTTTTAACTTCTAGAACCCAGAGATCTCTGTCCATTCCCTGAGCAGAGATCCATAATGGATGCACAGCGTCTAATGGCTCATAAGGTTATCTCAGACAAACTACTCTCTCAAGGTCATTTTCCTGTCTGGGATGGCCTGGTCTTTCCCAGAACTATGGCAGAGGAAAGAGAATGTTCTGTTGTCAAAATGACCTAAAGTATAACCTGCATCTCTCTCTCCATAGTGGTGTTTTGTGGTAGAGGTATAAAATTACAGAGTTTGCAAGAAGCATCAAAGGTCTCAGGACCCTGGAGAAGGACAGACAGCAGTGCTACCCGAGGCCCCATGGAGAATGGGGGGAGGTTTGGGCCTCATTTCCCCTTTGCATGTATCACTGTGGCTTAACCGTATTGACCACCAATTTCATAGTCTGCACCACAGTAATACTCAGCCTCATCTTCAGACTGGATGTTGGAGATGGTTAAATAGCGGTCAACTCCAGAGCTGGAGCCTGAGAGGCGGTTGGGGATCCCATCCCCCTTGCTGTGGCTTCCATCTCTTCTAACTAACATCATATACAGGGGAGCCTTCCCTGGTCGCTCTTGATACCAGTGAACCAAATAATTGCTGTGCTCACTGCTCAGTGTGCAGGTGAGCTTGACTGAGGCTCCCAGGGAGGCAGATGCAGATGAAGGCTGGGTCAGCACAGGCAGAGAACAGAAGCCTGGAAACACAAAACACAAGAATGATGCTGAATGTACTGGACACTGGACAGGGATCCCTGGGTACTGTGCTTGAGGGAAATGTCAAAGAGGTAGAATCCTGACCTGTAGAGAAAATAAAGGGCATGATGTAGAAGGGAACCCAGTCCATGGTGGCAGGGGGAACTTCACAGACCTCTGCTCTGAGCTAGTCCTTCTGGGACTGAACTCCACAAACTCCCATCTTATCCTGTGTTGTTGCAGCTCAAGGAAGGAGGGGCATCAGATGCAAATCTACTTTCCATTCTTCAGTGTGTCTGAGCTCTTGTCTGAGCTCTGAGGTTAAGGACCTCATGCTGGTAATTTCCTGATGTCAGAAGAAGGACCAGGTGTGGGTTTCTAGAATGGAGAGTTGATTTTACATAACACAAGTATCATCAACGGAAATATCAGTCATACCCTTTGCACTTGAGCACAGCCCAGGGGATTTGGACTTATTGGGGTCCCAATACAAGACCCACAGTGCCCCCTTGGGCCCCCTAGGCTGAATGTCACCCTACATGTATTGCTAGTTTAACAAAATGACTACTTCTGAGCCCTCAGTAGGTGCTATACCCTTGGTGTGTATGTGCTCCACTGAATGAGACATAATAAAAACAGTAGCCATATGCTCAACTTTTCATTTTAAACAAAAGAATCTAAGTTTTTAAATGATTAATTTAACATTGAGGGATTAAAATATTTTCTCAAGGAGGAGTCAAGATGGTGGAGAAGTAGCAGGCTGAGACTACATCAGGCAACAGTAGATCAGCTAGATAGCTTATCTAAAGATTGCAAACACCCACAAATCCAATGGGAGATCGAAGAGAAGAAGAACAGCAATTCTAGAAACAGAAAAGCAACCACTTTCTGAAAGGTAGGACTGGTGGAGAAGTGAATCCAAAGCGACGGGAAGACAGACTGTAAGGGGAGGGGCCAGCTCCCGGCAAGCGGCGGAGCAATGGAGCACAAAATCAGGACTTTTAAAAGTCTGTCCGCTGAGGGACATCGCTCCAGAGGCTAAACCAGGGTGAAGCCCACACGGGATCAGCGTTGCCTCAGGTCCCGCAGGGTCACAGAAGGATCAGGGGTGGCTGAGTGTCACAGAGCTTGCAGATATTAGAACGGGGAAGCCGGCTACAGAGACATAGCTGAGGAGTGAGCTCACAGCTCGGGGTTACCTTGAACCGGTCACAGGCTCAGTGAGCTCGGAGCGCGGCGAGAGGCCAGGCAGACTGGAGTAAATAGGCGCTGTTCTCTGAGGGCGCACTGAGGAGTGGGGCCCCAAGCTCTCTGCTCCTCCGGGCTGGAGACCGGGAGGCCACCATTTTCATTCCCGTCCTCCGGAACTCTACGGAAAGCGCTCAGAGAACAAAAGCTCCCAAAAGCAAACTGGAGCAGATTACTCAGCCCAGCCCCTGGTAAGGGCAGTGTAATTCCGCCTGGGGCAAAGACACTTGAGAATCACTACAACAGGCCCCTCCCCTAGAAGATCAACAAGAAATCAAGCCAGGACCAAGTTCACCTACCAAGGAGTGCAGTTTCAATACCAAGGAGAGCACCGGAAACCAGAGGAGGAGAAAGCAAAGCACGGAACTCGTGGCTTTCTCCCCATGATTCTTTAGTCTTGCAGTTAATTTATTTTTTTCTTTTTCAATTTTTTTTCTCTTCTTCTGCTAATTTTTTTTTTAACTTTTACCCTTTTCTTTTTTAACGTTTTTAACTAGTTTATCATATATATATATATATATATATACATATATATATATTCTTTTCTGTTTTATAGTTTTTCTTTATTCGTTTTCTTTTTTTAATTGTTTCTTTCTTTCTTTCTTTTTTTTTTTTTCTTTCTGAACCTCTTTTTATCCCCTTTCTCCACCCTCACGATTTGGGATCTCTTCTGATTTGGTTAAAGCATATTTTCCTGAGGTCTTTGCCACCCTTTTAGTATTTTACTTGCTCCTTCATATACTCTTATCTGGACAAAATGACAAGGCGGAAAAATTTACCACAAAAAAAAAAAAAAAAAAAAAAGAACAAGAGGCAGTACCAAAGGCTAGGGACCTAATCAATACAGACATTGAAAATATGTCAGATCTAGAGTTCAGAATGACAATTCTCAATTCTAGCCGGGCTTGAAAAAGGCATAGAAGATATTAGAGAAATGCTCTTGGGAGATATAAAAGCTGTTTCTGGAGAAATAAAAGAACTAAAATCTAACCAAGTTGAAATAAAAAAAAGCTATTAATAAGGTACAATAAAAAATGGAGGCCCTCACTGCTAGGATAAATGAGGCAGAAGAAAGAATTAGCGATATAGAAGACCAAATGACAGAGAATAAAGAAGCTGAGCAAAAGAGGGACAAACAGCTACTGGACCACGAGGGGAGAATTCGAGAGATAAGTGACACCATAAGATGAAACAACATTAGAATAATTGGGATTCCAGAAGAAGAAGAAAGAGAGAGGGGAGCAGAAGGTATATTGGAGAGAATTATTGGAGAGAATTTCCCCAATATGGCAAAGGGAACAAGCATCAAAATCCAGGAGGTTCAGAGAACCCCCCTCAAGATCAATAAGAATAGGTCCACACCCTGTCACCTAATAGTAAAATTTACAAGTCTTGGTGAAAAAGAGAAGATCCTGAAAGCAGCCCGGGAAAAGAAGTCTGTAACGTACAATGGTAAAAATATTAGATTGGCAGCAGACTTATCCACAGAGACCTGGCAGGCCAGAAAGAGCTGGCATGATATATTCAGAGCACTAAACGAGAAAAACATGCAGCCAAGAATACTATATCCAGCTAGGCTATCATTGAAAATAGAAGGAGGGATTAAAAGCTTCCAGGACAAACAAAAACTGAAAGAATTTGCAAACACCAAACCAGCTCTACAGGAAATATTGAAAGGGGTCCTCTAAGCAAAGAGAGACCCTAAAAGTAGTAGATCAGAAAGAAACAGAGACAATATACAATAACAGTCACCTTACAGGCAATACGATGGCACTAAATTCATATCTCTCAATAGTTACGCTGAATGTTAATGGGCTAAATGCCCCAATCAAAAGACACAGGGTATCAGAATGGATAAAAAAACAAAACCCATCTATATGTTGCCTTCAAAAACTCATTTTAAGCCTGAAGACACCTCCAGACTTAAGGTGAGGGGGTGGAAAAGAATTTACCATGCTAATGGACATCAGAAGAAAGCAGGAGTGGCAATCCTTATATCAGATCAATTAGATTTCAAGCCAAAGACTATAATAAGAGATGAGAAAGGACACTATATCATACTCAAAGGATCTGTCCAACAAGAAGATCTAACAATTTTAAATATCTATGCCCCTAATGTGGGAGCAGCCAACTATATAAACCAATTAATAACAAAATCAAAGAAACACATCAACAATAATACAATAATAGTAGGGGACATTAACACTCCCCTCACTGAAATGGACAGATCATCCAAGCAAAAGATCAATAAGGAAATAAAGGCCTTAAATGACACACTGGACCAGATGGACATCACAGATATATTCAGAACATTTCATCCCAAAGCAACAGAATACACATTCTTCTCTAGTGCACATGGAACAATCTACAGAAGAGATCACATTCTTGGTCCTAAATCAGGTCTCAACCGGTATCAAAAGTTTGGGATCATTCCCTGCATATTTTCAGACCACAATGCTCTGAAGCTAGAACTCAATCACAAGAGGAAATTTGGAAAGAACCC